TTGGACGAATATCGTAAGAATGAGAAGAATATAGGCAAAGTATGAAAAAAGAATATATATATATATATATATATATATATATATATATATATACATATATATATATATATACGTAATATATATATATATATATATATTTATATATATATATATATATATATATATATATATATATATATATATATATATACGTCAGCGACAAATGTATCGCGACTGTAGAATAAGAAGAATATAGGCAAAGTATGAAAAGAATATATATATATATATAAATATATATACGCATATATATATATATATATATATATATATATATGTATATCCATATATATATGCGTATACACATATATATGTATATATATATATATATATGCGCGTCAGCGACAAATGTATCATGACTGTAGAATTAGCAGAATATAGGCAAAGTATGAAAAGAATATATATATATATATATATATATAAAAATATATATACATATATATATATTTTCATATATATATACAGTATATATATATATATATATATATATATATATATATTATATGTATATGTATATGCGTCTGCGATAAATTTATCGTGACTGTAGAATAGTATCAGTATGGATATTAGTTTGACATATTTCCATATAATTTAATACACACATACGCACATACACATACACACACACACACACATGTATATATATATATATATATATATATATATATATATATATATATCGTTAATTTAATCTCCGGTTACTTACCATCACTTCAAGAAGTACAATCATAGTATTGAAATATGAAAGCATTTTGTGAAGCGATTTAAAAAATGTTTTTATAATATCTTATAATAAAAATTTAATAATAATAATAACAATAATAATAATATATACACACACGCACACGCAACACACACACACACACACACACACACACACACACACATATATATATATATATAGAGAGAGAGAGAGAGAGAGACTGCTTGAAAATGGATAGTATAAAGTTTGTCAGGTGTAAAGTTTGTCACTGAGTTGATTGATGCAACCTTCAGCATTCCGATTTTAGATTTTTGTTGAAATCACTCCGACCACTCGTCAGAGGTATCAACAAATGACACTTTTCATTGGTGCAAGGTTGTTGTTTATTTTCCCAATATGTGAATATGCGTACGTGGGCGCGATCATGCGCCGTCCGCTTGTATGTCCTTAGGCGTATATATATATATATATATATATATATATATATATATATATATATATAAAAGAAATATGTTGTAGTGGTTCCAACGAGAGAAAAGTATGTATATTAAAAAGAAGAGGGGTGCCGCAAACGTTTTGGTTGTAATGTGGATTTATTGAGAAAAATATTATACTTTGTTTTACATAATTTCACGACACGTGTTTCTGGTCTGGTCTCGCAACCGTCTTCAGGTGAAAGTGGAGATTTTTACATATTATTAAAAATAATTAATTTTTCTTCATGTTCAATGTGGAATATTCTCGATATGAGACATTCTGTTTGTGTGTTGGCAATCCGAATTTTCTTTCTAGAATTGTCAATGAAGAGTTCTGCGTGAAGGGTCATAAAACAATTAAGGTTTGTCAGCGAGTAGTTATCGGCATTTAATCTTTTAATGTTTTAGTGACCTCTATGTGCTCTTGGATCTGTTTCTATTTTGGCGTGTTCCTGTCAGCATGCGTGTATATATGCGTGCGTATATTTCCTTACTACGAGGAATTCGTAAACTTATTTTACTTATACACGCATACACACACATACGCACATACACACTATCCCACCACAAGTAGTCGATACACACACACACATATACACACATATTTCCCAAGCTACATGGAACCAGTACACACACATACACACACACACACATACACACACACACACACACACACACACTTCTTAAGTTGTCAACATCCGCATATACATACATAAATGTATGTATGTGTACATACACATATATATATCTCCTCGTGTCTCCCGTATATGAGTGTGCGTCCATGTATGTGAGCGATCATTGTATTTGGTCACCCTGTGTGCATGTTTTTTTTTTTTTTTTTTTTTGGGGGGGTTACGATCTATTCAGTTCGGGTTTGAATTTGTCTATAAAGTTTTTTCCTGTATTTGTAGATACGAGTAATTGTCTGTTTGATATATCGGCATGATATTAAACTTACCCTGGTTACATTTGAAAATGTGTTGTGATACAAAAAGTTTTCTGTTGTCTGTCAATTTATATTGCTTTTGTGTAGGGGAGACCCTGTTGTTCAGTTGTTGGCTGATGCCTATATATGACTTCTTACATTTTATGCATTTAAGTGCATAAACTACATTTTGGAGTTGCAGTTTAAGTTTTAGTTTATTGTGAATTTTTTTTGGGTTTTCAAAAGTGTAGGAGTTTCCTTCTATAATGATGTCACTAAACTCCACATCTTTTTTGTTGCATTTTGTGACTCCCCTGTGTTTTTTTGTGTTGACTAAATTTAGATGAGGTTAATATGTGTTTTAGGTTTCTAGATTGGCGTTTGCTCTTAATTATTTTGGTTGTTTTTTTAGTATATTATTCAGTTTATTATTCTTGCTAAGTAAATCTAGATTTTTTGTGATTTCTGGGAATATTTCTGGGTTGTTTTTGTTGTACGTTGAGACATATGCTAGAGTTTGTTCGACGTTACGTTTCTTTTATTTCTAAGTTGGTCTAGAGGAATTTCTTTCATGAGTTCAATACCTTTGTTTATTATTAGTGTTGTGGGGTAGCCTCGTTTCTTGAGAGTTTTATGTAGTTCTTCTAAGCGGATTTTTCGGAGATGTTTATCAGTCACTATTGTACAAATTCTACGTGCTAGGGAATAGGGATGGATTTTAGGCAGCTTTTTGGGTGATGACTCTTGAAATGAACGTATTGTTGGGTGTCTGTGGGTTTGTGGTAGATATCTGTGATTATGTGGTTGTTTTATTTCTAATGAGTATATCTAAAATGGTAATTCGTTAAAATTATATTCTTGCGTGAATTTGATTTTTTGGGTGTAAGTTTTGAAGTAGTGTATGGAATTGGTTAATATCATCCCATGATGATTTCCAAAAGATGAAGCAATCATCTAGATATCTTTTCAAGATTTAGTGAATTGGGTCTTTTATATTTGTCCCATATATTTGTTCTATCTTTTCATAGAGGTTTTCTTCTAGGTAAGCTAATGTTGGGGTGGCATATGTTGGTGCCATTTTTGTTCCATCGCAGTACCTAGGGTTTGGATATAGTTTTTTGTTGTCAAATTCAAAGGTGTTATTGTTTAGAATTAGGTCTATACTATCGATAATGAACTCTTTAGTGAATCTCGGATGTAGTATTTCTGGATGTTTTTCAATCCAGAATGAGATCGCTTTTTCCTAGTTCATGGGGTATGTTACTGTATAGGCTACTGATGTCAAAAGTTGCCATAAGCGTTTCGGATCTACCTTTTGTGGTATGCAGCTAAGGAAATGGATATCGTCTCTGATGTGGCTTTTAATTTGTTTAGTATATGGTTGCAATATTATGTCTATTAGGTTACTGAGTTTGCTAGTGGGACAGACTGGTCCTGCTACTATGGGTCTGAATGTAAGGTCACTGGGGTTTGGGATGCTAATGTATTCAGATTTTTGTGTATGTATAGCTGCTTTTATTTCACTCGATTTATGAACTTTAGGTAGTCCGTAGAAATTACTTGTTTTTGGTACAAAGTTTATTAGGAAATCCTTCTCTTTTTTTGTTAATATTTTATTATGTGTTGTGCAGAGTTTTGTAATTTTTGTTATAATGTTTTTGTCTATGTTAGTGTCAATTACTTTGTAGCTGTTCCTATCCTCTAGTGTTTCTAGAATTTTTGTTTTATAGTATGTTCTGTCCATGATTACTATAGCGCTGCCTTTATCTGCTTCTTTTATAATTATGTTATTATTTTTTTCGAATGTTCTCTAAAGGCTAGTCTTTGTCTATATGAGATTGTCGAATGATTTGGATTTTTCCTGTAGGTCAAGGTTCCAGAGTTTTCAAAAAAATATATTTATCTCATTGGTATTGTTATTTTTGTTTGGGAATAAATTGGATTTGTTTTTTTACTAGTGACTCATCTGTACTACTTTCGCTATTGTTAAATATTTCTCTTAGTCTCAGTTTGCGTTCAAATTCCTTAATGTCTTTTTTTAAGTCTACTATATTGCTTTTTTAGGAGCAGGACAGAATTTTAGGCCCAATTTCAGTAGGTTGATTTCGTCATTTGTAAGTGTATATAGATAGGTTTATTATTTTGGGTTTTGTGTCATCTAAACGGGGTTTTCTTGTTCGGACTGGGGCTTCTAAAAAATAATGATTGTTTCTTTTTAATATATCTTGGGTTTTCTAAGAGATACCTTCTTCCTGTACATTTTGAGTTTTCTAGCCTGGGAGTTTTCTAGCTTGGGAAATATGTGTGTATATGTGTGTGTGTACTGACTACTTGTGGTGGGATAGTGTGTATGTGCGTATGTGTGTGTATGCGTGTATAAGTACAAATAAGTTTACGAATTCCTCGTAGTAAGGAAATATACGCACGCATATATACACGCATGCTGACAGGAACACGCCAAAATAGAAACAGATCCAAGAGCACATAGAGGTCACTAAAACATTAAAAGATTAAATGCCGATAACTACTCGCTGGACAAACCTTAATTGTTTTATGACCCTTCACGCAGAACTCTTCATTGACAATTTTAGAAAGAAAATTCGGATTGCCAACACACAAACAGAATGTCTCATATCGAGAATATTCCACATTGAACATGAAGAAAAATTAATTATTTTTAATAATATGTAAAAAATCCACTTTCACCTGAAGACGGTTGCGAGACCAGACCAGAAACACGTGTCGTGAAATTATGTAAAACAAAGTATAATATTTTTCTCAATAAATCCACATTACAACCAAAAAACGTTTGCGGCACCCCTCTTCTTTTTAATATATATATATATATATATATATATAGAGAGAGAGAGAGATTCTCCTTCAATATTATACCGCATTTTCTCTTTCTTTCCTTCTTTCTTTCTTTCTTTCTTTCTTTTTTCCTTCTTTCCTTCTTTCTTTCTTTCCTTCTTTCTTTCTTTCATTCTTTCTTTCTTTCATTTAATCTGCCTTTCTTTCTCACATATTCTCCTTCAATATTATACCGCATTTTCTCTTTCTTTCTTTCTTTCTTTCTTTCTTTCCTTCTTTCTTTCTTTCTTTATTTTTTCTTCCTTTCTATCTTTCTTATATTTTGTCTGTCTTTCTTTCTCACATTTTCTTCAATATTACAACGCATTTTCTTTCTTTCTTTCTTTCTTTCTTTCTTTCTTTCTTTCTTTCTTTCTTTCTTTCGTTAAACAGCTGACGCAAAACCTTTCACTACATAAAAATAGACTGATACTCTCCACCCAGATAAGACCTTAGCTTTTGCCCTGCCCCTAACGGGATGCCACCATTACGCACAAAAGACGTTCATAACGATATTTCAAAAAAAAAATTTTTTGATCAAAAGCCTTTAAACCTTTTTGCTTTTCTTTTTTTTTCTATCTTCTAATCACTTGCTAAGTCTGCTTGTACGGCAACAAAACAACTCAAGTTAGGAAAAGAATGAAACCACTCTTTGTCTGTAGCCTATAACCAAACATATATTAATGAATGACTGCTAGCTAAACTCATATATATATATATATATATATATATATATATATATATACTGATGTACAGCTTCAATTAAATCCATGGTCTGTGTAATCGCTCATACATTATTTGAACGGCTTCTTCGAATGTGTTCACTGGTCTGTGAAGTTTTCTTGATTAAGTTTCTTGCCCATGTAAACGATGTATTTAATGAGAAAATCGTGAATTTCTGATCACAAACAACAATGAAGAAAAAAGACTTTTTAAAAAAATCTCATTACCTGTTAAATGCGAAATGAAACTTCTTTCCCCCTTTATTAATAGTCAAAATGAAGATATCTATTTGCGTTCAATCTTTTGATGTCGCCTCAGACAGACTGCTAAACGCATTTGAATTTATTTCTTTATTTCACCAATATATTGACTAACAAAGTGACCAAAATAGTCCTTATTATCTTCGATGATCCCCCTTTTTTATCAGCTACAAAAAAAGAGTTTCATTTACTATTTTTATTTACATTGTTCGGACTGTTGTCCTCATCTTCGTTGCTATATTCACGACGTTTCGGTCGCAGTACGCTACGTCCTTCGTCAGGATCTATCGATATTTCTGAGATGAGGCATTTTAATTATTTACACGATTTATATTGTTCGGACTGTTGATCTCACCTTCTTTGCTATATTCACTCCGTTTCGGCCGTTGCACGCTACATCCTTCTTCAGGATCTGTCGATATTTCTCAGATGAGTATTGTAATTATTTACACGATTTGCATTGCTCGGACTCTTGTCCTCATCTTCGTTGTTATATTCACGACGTTTCGGCCGCTGTACGCTACGTCCTTCAGGATCTCTCGATATTTCTGAGAAGAGGTATTTTAATTATTTACACGATTTACATTGATCGGACTCTTGTTCTCATCTTTGTTGCCATATTCACGACGTTTCGGCCGTTGTACGCTACGTCTTTCTTCAGGATCTGCGATATTTCTGAGATGAGGTATTGTAATTATTTACAGTATATCCATTGTTCGGAATGTTGCTTTCACCTTCGTTGCTATATTCACGACAATTTGGACGTTGTATGCTACGTCTTTCTTCAGGATCTGTCGATATTTCTGAGATGAGGCATTGTAATTATTTACACTATTTCCATTGTTCGGACTGTTGCTCTTACCGCCTTTGCTATATTCACTATGTTTCGGCCGTTCTACGCTACGTCCTTCTTCAGGATCTGTCGATATTTCTGAGATGAGGTATTTTAATTATTTACACGATTTACATTGTTCTGACTGTTGTCCTTATCTTCGTTGCTATATTCACTCCGTTTCAGCCGTTGCACGCTACGTCCTTCTTCAGGATCTGTCGATATTTCTCAGATGAGATATTGTAATTATTTACACTGTTTACCTTGTTCGGACTGTTGTCTTCATCTTCGTTGCCATATTCACGACGTTTCGGCTGTCGTACGCTACGTCTTCTTCATGATCGTTCTATATTTCTGAGATGTTGTATTGTAATTATTTACACTAATTACATTTTTTTGAACTGTTCTTCTCATATTTATTGCCATATTCGGAACGTTTCGGCTGTCTTACGTTCCTACATTCATCAGGATCTTTCACTATTTCTGAGATGAGGTATTGTAAATATTTACACTGTTAACATCGTTCGGACTGTTGTCCCCTTCTGTCGACACATTAACGACGTTTCGACCGTTTTACGCTCCGACATTCTTCAGTATCTGTTTATATTTCTGAGATGAGTTATTGTAATTACTTACAATATTTACATTGTTCCGTCTGTTGTCCACATCTTTATTGTCTCACATTTCCGCCGTTGTCCTGCGTATGACGATAAACTACATCCGGTAGCAAACCTCTGATCAGGAGGTTTTTGCTGAGCATGCGAACTCCTCCTAATTGTTTTTGTTCCCAGGTCCACCCTGACATGGGATGGTATCACCTGTTAGGGTCCCAGCTATGGGCAAATAGTTAACTCCCAAACTGTGGGCAAAACAGTATGAAAGTGTAGGAATACATTTTTATAATGAAGGTGACAGCAATACATTTTCATAGTAACCAAATTAGCAGAAATACATTTTCATAGTAACCAAATTAGCAGCAATACATTTTCATAGTAACCAAATTAGCAGCAATACATTTTCATAGTAACCAAATTACCAGAAATACATTTTTGGAAGGGAAAACAAAATTAGCAGCAATATATTTTTGTAAAAGAAATTGCTAATGCTCCCAAGAAAATTAAATTTTGGCATTAAATGACCCATAGGGGGTTGATATGCCACTAAACTAACGAATACAAAATCTTCATTCTTAGGCAATGTCATATTGTCATCAAGCGGTCACCCATCAAGTTACCGACCATACTAGACATTGCTTAACATTTTTGTAAAAGAAATTACTAATGCCCCCAAGAAAATTAAATTTTAGCATTAAATGACTCATGAGGAGTTGATATGCCGCTAAACAAACGATTTCAAAATCTTCATTCTTAGGTAATTTCATATTGTCGTCAAGTGGTCACCCTTCAAGGTAGTGACCAGATTAGACATTGCTTAACATTTTTGTAAAAGAAATTACTAATGCTCGCAAGAAAATTAAATTTCGGCAGTCGCTCCCTCACAGCCGTGGCGTAGCCTCCCTCTGTCTTTTTTACAAATACTTTCATGGTAACTGCTCCGATGAGCTGCTTTCGCTAGTTCCCAGACTTCATGAATTTAAGCGTTCAACTAGGCTGGCATTTCGCTCTCACCCTTTCACTGTCGAAAGTGTTAAATGTAGCCGTCTCTTCTACTCCAATAGCTTCATGTCTCGCACTTCTCGCCTGTGGAACTCTCTCCCTAATTCTTGTTTTCCTGGTAGCTATAATCTCCAACTATTCAAATGTAACGTCAATCGACGTCTCCAGATGCCCTGATCCATCACCTAACCTTCTCTTCATCCTTTCCTCTATCACTCCTATTTTTTCTCGCTCCTGCTCTGAAACCCTTTGCGAGCTAGTGGCTTCCCGCCTTGCTTGAGGTTGAATGCTTTAAAAAAAAGTAGTTGATATGCCGATAATCAAATTATTATAATACAAATAAACAAACGTTTCGGTTGTTGTACGTTCCGGCCTTCGTCAGGTATTGGAATTTCGAAACAAACCGAACCCGACATTTAATGATAGTATAAAATGACCGTAACTTAACACTGGGTTCCTAGATTGAAACCATGCATCTTTCACTTGCGAGTCAATCTTTGAATGTTGATGTTTTGTCTACAACTGAATGCCTTAAAGAAGGAGAATGAAAAGATGCACTTTCGCCATATTGCGTTCTAGGAATTTCGGAAAAAGTGATAAGCTGTCGGAACTGCGACCCAAAATAATTCAGAACGTTTATTTACGCCAACTTTTCGGACAGTCGCAAAGAAGTTTGCCAAATTTCGCCGGGGTGATTTCAACAGTCAACCATGCTCCGCCTCACCTTTCGACGTCGATGAAGATTCTCTGCTTAACATCGGGAATAACAAACCAAAGATTTCAATGCTAAGAGTTTTAAAATCGATATATCAACTGCCTTTCCTCATTTGAAGAGACTTGGGTTAAAAAAACAAAAAAACGGTCCATTTTGGCAAATTGAAAATGTTTCATTTTTCTACCAAGACAACGCAAGACAACATATTGCAAAACTCACCTTCCAAAAGCTTAAAGAACTGATATGGGAAACTCCCGAACAGTCGCCGTATTCTCCTGAATTAGCTCCTTTGGGTTTTCATTTGTACCTGTTTCTACAGAACAATTTAAATGATAAAAAATCGATACTTCAAATATACAAATCAACCATTCGCCCTTGCATGGAGTATTGCTGCCATATATGGTCTGGGGCACCTTCTGTTTACCTCGGAGTTCTTGACAAGATCCAGAGACGGATATGTAATATAATTGGCCCTGATCTGGCGTCTCGTCTCAGATCACTCTCTCACAGACGCGTCGTCGCCTCTCTCTGTCTTTTTACAAATACTTTCATGGTAATTGCTCCGATGAGCTGCTTTCACTGGTTCCCAGACTCCATGAATTCAAGCGCCCCACGAGGCTGGCATTCCGCTCTCACCCTTACACTGTAAAAACTTTTAAATGTAGCCGTCTCTTCTACTCCAATAGCTTCATACCTCGCACCTCTCGCCTGTGGAACACCCTTCCCTATTACTGTTTCCCTGAGAGCTATAATCTCCAACTATTCAAAAGTAATGTCAATAGACATCTCCAGTTGCCTTGATCTATCCACTATCCTTCTCTTCATCCTTTCTTCTATCACTCCTATCTGCTCTTGCTCCAAATCTTCTGCAACCACCTGCATCCTAGTGGCTTCACGCCTTGCTCGGGGCGTCATGCTTAAAAAAAATTGACTTTTTACAGTCAGTCGAAAACTATTTCAAGTAGGTACATTAAATATTCTGTGTAATATGGGATCATTACAAAAGTTCGTACCTGATTTTCATGAGCCCATGAATACGATTCATACTTGATTTTTATGCTTTTAAAATGACCACAACTCGACACTGGTTTTTGTTTTAGTGCCAATTTCCGGTGTTTTCGTTCATTTGCGAATCAGACTTTGTTGAATATTGACATTTTGTCCATAAATAAATACCTTGAAGATGGTAGATTATGAATTTTGGTAAAGAAATAAGTGTTAGAACTGCGAGCAAAAAAAAAAA